CTCCAGCTGCTCCTGGATGATCGTGCAGGTGCTGTATGCGTCCTGCGCATGCGTGGAAGCGCAGAACTTGTCAAAACCGGGTAAGGACCGTGGGTGGGCGCACCCTTCGCCGTTCCCGGGTTCGGTGACCAACCGGTTCGCAGGGACCGCCACGAACCGGTTGAAACCCACCCCTGATGTAGAGGTGGAAAACAAAGGAGACCTTATCACATTTCCATGGTACTGCAGTCTCATTTCTGCTGTCTCTCTGAAAGTAACTCTGGGCAAAGAAGAGTCATAGCTTATTCTGATTTTCTTGAAGAAGCACAGCTCAAAGAAGGATATTGGGAAAGTGGGAAAGCATAATTTTCACATACAAAATTCCTGTGAAAGAGAAATTATTTCTTACGAGATCACTTTCTATGTTCCTTGGACAGTGCAAGTGCATTTACTTCCCATGGAAGTGTAAACAGATGCTAACATTTTTGTTTCCTGTTCTCATTCCCATCTTTTCCATGCTTCCTTAATTATGAAACATTTTTCTCCCCATTTCTATACATGATGGTTAATATATTCCCTTATCTAATACATGTAGTTGTGGGTTTCTGATCCATACACAGGAATAGGAAAGAAAGCAAGATCAACCTCCCTACATTCCCTTTGGTTAAAAAAGGGATCCAGATCTAATATTATTAAGTGGCAGTAGCCATAAGGATAGCAAAAGCTATTGGGAATACAAAGAAGACCAACACAGCTGATAAACAGCATATTCATGGAACAAGCAGAGAGCTTTCAGTACAGCAAATAAGCCTCTGTATTTTAGAATTCATTGTTTGCCTCACCCAAGCAGTATACATGGACATGTGATTCCATTCCATTCCATTCCAATGTAAAAAGCAGCATTTTTCAGAAGATGCTTTACAATGAGCCCGAAATAAATGGCAAGAGAATATGAGAACTTACTTCTGAGATCACTTTTTGAAAGTCTTGTTAGCCCAAATCAGTTTCTAACCATTCTGCTTTCAAAATTATAAATAGTGAATTACCATTAAAAATATTTTAGATCCTTGTGGTTCCATCCTTCCTTTATCTATGGAAGAGAAAGAAACTGTACTAAGATGTTGGTATCTTAAGAGGAATCTGGAATCAAAGATTGAAATAGGATGTATTGGGAATATCAAGCAAGAGAATATGCATGAAAAGCTGTAAAACAAGAATCAAAAGACTCAGTTTTCCACTGATTAATCGGGCCCATGCCATGTTCCCTTGAAAATAAAGTTTCACAGAATGAGGATTTAATTAATGTGTAAGGATTTAACATGTTCAATGCTGAAGTCCCACCTGAAATCATCTTATTAAAAAAAATAAAGCTTTAATTCACTGGGATTACCTTATTGGTTTGATTTCAACATATCTGTATTACTCATTGTACAGTACATTACAGACTAAAACTGGACACATGTAACAGATTGCCCACGGAGCATATAGAAGCCTTCTAAAACTATTCAGAGTTCATTAAAAAGACTATTCAAATTATTTTGGATTTAAAAGGGAATCACAAGGAAATGTGCAGGAGCTTCTATTGTTGTTCAGTCACTAAGTCATGCCCAACTCTTCATGATCATGGATCACAGAATACCAGGCCCTTCTGTCCATCACTATCTCCTGGAGTTTGCTGAAATTCATGTTCATTGCATCAATGACACTATTTATCCATCTCATCCTCTCCTGTCCCTTTCTTCTGCTTTCAATCTTTCCCAACATCAGGCTTTTTTCCAGCGATTCATATCTTCTCATTAGCTGGCCAAAGTATTTGAGCTTCAGCTTCAGTATCTATCTTTACAAAGAACAGTTAGGATTGATTTCTTTTAGGGGTAACTTCTGTAACAATTATTAATGCAGTTTGTCATTGAGTGGTGAGAACGATTTTAAAATTATACTGTATTGGTCTTCTTTAGCAAATTGCCAAATTCCTTAACTTTCTGAAAAGTCCACCTTGCCCAACTAGCCCTCAGCTGCCTGGATATTTTCACCCTTGCCTCATATGCTCAGTTCCTGCACTTTATTTCTACTGCCAATCCATTGTCCTGACTTAGAATTCTGAGTTCCTATTTAATGTTGAATATTAATTTTTTTTTCATAGTTGTAGAGTATCTATCTGCTGCTGCAGTTTGTTGTATTTTCACATTGCTTGGCCACATCTAATATCTACAATTGTTTTGTTCTTTTACATCACTGCAACGGAGTCTAGAACACAGCATACATGTCCATTTATTTATTTAGCACATGGCATACAATGTCAGGGAAACCTACATAGAATAGAATACAATAGAACAGAAGAGAACAGAACAGAACAGAACAGAATAGAATAGAGGTGAAACTCGAAAAAGTAGAATGTCGTGCAAAAGTTTATTTCNCTTTCAGCCAACGAGAGTCTGGACTGATTAAAAAACATTCTCATTTACGTTTGTTTCGGCTTTCGTTCCTGGACGGAGGGGGGGGGCCAGAACAATTCATTATTCCCATATCTCTGAAATCCCATATCAATATACCCTCACCAGATTTGCGTCCCACTTGATTTTGGGGAATGATGATTTGACAGGAATTAGCATCACTGGTGCCACGGATAGGATGACTCAGAATACAGATGATGCGGATCACTTTTCCAGCTGGGCGCACTCTATCTGTCACATAGCTGGGATCACAGATCAACTGTTTGCAGCGTGCCACCTGAAAGGAGAATCGGCATCAGCAAAAGGAAAATGTTGGATTCACCAGTTCTTCCCTGCGCATGAACTCCCAGCCTCCTTCAGCGCAGTGTTCTCTAGAAGTACAGAGGCTGAGAATTCTACCAACACATTTGGAAGATGCCAGGTTGAAGAATGTGGACCTAAATGCAGAATCCTAAATGTTTAATTCAGAAACTCATTTTGTAGCAGTGCAGACGAAATACTGTATCTTCACACAACTGCATATAAACTGACGTTGATACTATGTGTATTTTCACGCCTACCGAAATGTTCGCCATGAAAGAGCTGTTGTATTTATTGAGGGGGGAAAAGCAAAACCTGTTGGAAACATAACTGACTATTTGAGGATTTTAAAAACTGTTTTTACGCTCATGTTTTCGTTTGATCCTCTCCCCCATTGGGGGAAGATTTTCATGTTTCAATCCTTTTCAACTAGATCAGCATTCATACAGGATTAGATGACTTATGTGGGAATGACTGAATGAAAAGTAATTTAGCCAGGAGTAGCCCAAGAAAATGAGGAATGTTAAGAAACCAGAAGAGGGCTTCTGTAGCTCTGGAAACAAAAGCAGAAACACTTGTAGAGGAGAACTCAGCTTCACTACTGACACCAAAGTTTCTCCAAACCTCTCGCAGTCTTCTCCCAGCAAGCTTAACTCAAGGAAGCAGGAACAAAAGCCAACAACAAGAAGGATGGAGTACTGACAATGGTGCTAAATCAGGAAGACTGTCACTGTCTTCTTCATGTTTCCAAGGGCCAGCATATACTTAAGAGCCAAGGTGGCGCAGTGGTTAGAGTGCAGTACTGCAGGCCACTTCAGCTGACTGCTATCTGCAGTTCAGCGGTTCAAATCTCACCGGCTCAAGGTTGACTCAGCCTTCCATCCTTCCGAGATGGATGAAATGAGGACCCAGACTGTGGGGGCGATATGCTGACTCTGTAAAACCGCTTAGAGAGAGCTGAAAGCCTTATGAAGCGGTATATAAGTCTAACTGCTACTGTTATTACAGATGGATGTTGTGTCAAGAGAAGGTGTTGAGTCAAAAGGCTGGATTTTAAAAATTGCCAATTTCCCTCCCCACCTTTAATTTGCAGGTTGGGGAAAGACCATATGTACCAACTCGTGACCCGACAAATGCGCGCCCAACAAATGCCCGCCGACAAAACGGCGACATTGAAAGCGCGCCCACAAAAGCGCGATTAGGGTTTTTAGGTTGGGATTAGGGTTAGGGTAAGGGTTGTTAAAGTTGTTACCATTGTTTTCGATGGCGCGCTTTTGTCGGCGCGCTTTAGACATCACCGTTTTGTCACGGCGGTTTTGTCGGGCGCGCATTTGTCAGTGAACTGTACCAACTTCAGTGTGGCTTTTAGGGCACCAGCTATTGCTTTTGATGCTTGCTCTGGTGCACTGCCTGGCGCAATGGAAAGAAGCAGCTAGCCATAAAGCTAATTGTTAAGAAACGTTCAAGAAAACAGAGCACTGATAAGGAAGTTCCCTTGTTCTAAAAACACCTCGTGCTACAAATTCAAAGCCTGTGGGGAAAAATGGTTAAGTAAAAAGATATCTCCTTTCCTCTTGTTTGAGGGTTAGGGAAGCTAAGAGCAGATGGGGTCTTACAGCTCTGTGTTAACAGTCAGCAGAAACCCACAGCTTTCTGAATTCCATCTGGTTAATAACTGATTTGGACCCATGCTCCAGGGATGCTTTCATTGAGCATGCAGACGTTTTCACTGAGATCCTATTATCAGCAATTTTATGAAAGTTCTGCTCTTCTAGACTTTGTACTGTCCATGTTTTATTGAGTAACTCGGCATGGGAGGATACATGAAATGCAATAAATAGCAAAAGAAACCTCAACTTCCTCTATAATACACTGAAAAGGGCGTAGGATAGAGAAAATGAAAGCACTGGTATTGAAACTAAACATCTGAGCATAAAGGTACCCTGTTTCCCTGAAAATGAGACCTCCCCAGATAATAAGCCCAATTGAGCGCATGGGCTAAAATAAGCCCTCCCCCAAAAGTAAGATCTCCCCAAAATATTGCAACAGAGCAGCAGCCATGAGGCGACATCACTCGCCATCTCCTGCACCTCAAAAATAATAAGACCTTCCCAAAACTAAGGCCAAGCACTTATTTTGGGGGTCAAAAGAAAATAAGACAGAGTCTTAAGACCCTTATCCCCTTAGTTTTGGGCAGGGGTGGGTTGCTAATCCCGTTCCAACCGGTTCGGTTGGAACGGGGGCGGCGGCGTCCTCGTGCATGCGCGCAGTTGACGCATGCGTCTTAGCCCCTGCGTGATGCTCCAGCTGCTCATGGAGAATCGCACAGGCGCTGTATGTGCCATCCAGCTGCTCGCGGAGAATCGCGAAAGCGCTGTCTTTTGCGCACGCCTTCGGGGGAGGGGGGGAACCCTTGAAGACACGGTAGGAGCGC